GTACGTGTGTACAAATCTGACTGATCTATCAGACATGGAGCTATTGGGAGAAGAACCAGCCACGGCTCGAAACTCTCTGTACTTATTAAATCCGTTATGTTTAGTTGTCTGATTGACCAAATTATTCATTCAATTAATTATTCACTGTATGTAAGGTCTTGGTTAGATGAAGAAGTTGGTGTCACGAGCGGGATTCGAACCCATGACCTTCGGCTACATACGCCGCTGGTCTAACCACCTGAGCTATCGTGACTTCGATCCACTCGGACTCCAACTCTCCATCACAACCTTTCGAAAAATGGCAAAAAGGAGGGAAAATTCAAAAGGTGGGGTTGAGATGAAAGTCAGTTTTTAATTCTTCCTGCCTTGCCGGTATTGTCGAATTCACCAATTAACATTTTGCAATTAATTGATATTTATGAAAGGTATTGGTTGAAAAAGGGCAAAAAGGAAGGAAAATTCGAGAGGTGAGGTTGAGATGGGAAGTTAGTGTCCGAGTGGATCGAAGTCACGATCGATCGTGGATAGAGCAGCGGCGTATTGAGCCGAAGGTCATTGGTTCGAATCCCGCTCGTGACACTAACTTTTTCACCTCTGTATTTAGTTCAGACGAAAGGTTAGGATGGTCACAACCCCAGGCCGTGAAAATTGAGAAAACGTGTTCGTTTCAAATCCTTCATGAAGGTGTGTCGAGATTTTTAAAAATTGTTTATTTTGTGTGGTGATTAGTGACCGTTAATCGATATTTATTTAGAAATCGTGAGATGCGGTCTGGTGTGATGTAGGTTTCAGAAAAACATTTTCTTTATCGTGCCAACTTTTCGATCTTTATTGAGATCATCTTCAGGGCCTGGGATTTACAAACATTGTTTACATATTACAATTACATACAATGCAAAATATCGAAAACTTTATCGATCGAAACGTTGGCACGATAAAGAAAATGTTTTTCTGAAACCTACATCACACCAGACCGCATCTCACGATTTCTAAATAAAAATTGTTTATTTCTTGAAATCGAAGGGTGTGTTGAGAATTGTATTCGTTGATTCGTTGGATATCTGCGAATTTGGTAGAGCCCATAGCTAGATTTCTTAAGCCCGAATTTGACTATTTGGTGTTTTGTAAGTGGTTAGCCTAAGTTAGTGGACTTGGTAGGATGGAGGTAGGAGAGATTTTGATGTACAATGGCGTAAAGATCTGACACCTCAGTGTGATGGGTTTTTTGTTCGTTTAACTTGATGGACTCGGGTGCAGCAGTCTGTAATGAGGTTCAGATGGTTTGCTTCTGTTGTTGGGGTGTAGTCGGAGTTTGTGGATAATTTCGATTGTTTTAATGTTTGGTTATGTCAGCTTTGTACCTAGGATCCTTCCGTACGAAAGGCCAGTTTTGATAATTCTTCAAACCTCGGAGCAGTATTAAGACAGCAGTCCGACAGGAAGAACTTCAAAACAGGATAGAAAGGGTGAGAGCGGAATCTTTAACGTGAAAAGGAGACGCTTTGTTGTAGTGTTTCCATCCCTGGTGATGGAGAGATCACTTTGTTGTTCAGGTGTGCAATCCTGTCGCCTGAGGAGAACCTCACGTATTACCTTTTTAGTTCGTTTTTCTTGATCTTTACACAGTGCACTAGTTCGTAATGAGATGTAGGTGTTCCTGGATTGTTTCTGTAGATGAAGTACGTTAAGAGTGTATAGAATGGCGGCGTCATCCATAGGTTGTATTTGTTTGTTTGAATGTTTGAGTATGTTACAAGTGTCGGCGTGTTGGTTTCGGCTTGCAGACCCCGTCGATCTTGGGTTCACTTACCAACGTCCTCGATCTGTTTTCACGCTTTCTTTCGTGAAGACTGGGGGTTGTTAATAGTAGTCGGGTTCGTTTTCCTAATGATTTTCCTATATAAGCTCTATAAGGCCGTTGCGGTTTAGGAGGAAATTGCAGTTCGAGATGCATTCAAATAAATTTTTCTTAACCATGGAGAAATAAGTGTTCTTGCGATTTCGTTGATTGTGCGTTATTTGTGACAAAAGGTTGAGTTTCATCATCAACGGTTGAATGATTATCAGTTTTGGGCTTTCTAAGTTCCGCTTTTGAGCAAACCACTTACGGGCTGTCATCTGAAACGTCATTTTATATCGTCTGAGCTGCAGTTTTCCTAGTCATAAAAAAGTCCATGAATTTCTTCTATTTTAAATTGGCAATATAAAAAAGTGATCTCAAACAACATTTAGGAGTTAAGTTTGTGATGGAGTATTCATCACCCTTTTCACATAAAACTACACTACACTGACAATTTGATGGTCGATGGGGTACTTAATATTTCGCCATCGAGAAGCTAGTACTTCCTAAATATTCCCGCTTATCTTCGTTGTTACAAAGCAGTTAACAGAAAACATTGTGACTTATGCAACAGTATGATTAACTGAATTTAAATGTAAATAGAATAGAAATGCTCCAGTTTCTTCTAAAAGTCGGATTAGGAGATCCAAAAATTTGGTGCGAATGAATGAAGTTGAATATATTGAGCTACCTTAATCTCCATGCCAAACACGAATTTCTAATTGAGGGGTTTTGGGGTACACAATAATTTTTCATTGGATCTCTTATAGTAACATTCACGCGAATATATCCTCTCAACCTCAATAAACACATAACGGAAAAGAATACGATTTTTTTAAGTATTATGCCCTCTCCTCAATATATTATTATATGTGGGAAGTTTATGGGCCGAAAACAGCTGAGGTCATCGCCGGCCCTCTGCGTGTTTTCCTTCTTTTTCTCTTCTTTCGCGCATATTTTGTTTTAAACTTCAGCCATTTAAGCGCCCCGATCTTGTTACTGACTTTCTGATTTCAAATATATATTACGTTGATATTCTAGAAAGCTAGTCTCTCGTCTGTACCCTGGTTGTCAAATACAGAAATAGAAACAAATCGTACATATATACGTCACCACAAACATAGATGTCTGGTCACATTCACTCCACCCGAGTACTCGATATTCCTCGGGGGGAGGGGTTATAAGCAACCCTTTCCTTTCACGCTAATAAATTATTTTATTCTCCAGACGTCATACACTCACCCCAGAGTACTTGATATTCCTCGGGGCGGGTTATAAGCAACCCCTTTCTTTCACGCTAATAAATTACATTCATTACAATAAATTAACACAAACACAACACTCGATAGAAACAGGGAGGTCTGGTCACATTCACTCGCCCAAAGCACTCAATAAATTAACATAAAGTGAAATACAGACACAACACAAATACATAAAACTATATACATTTAAAAATCCTTATGGCCCTGAGGTATCGGAACAGTGATATGTGCCCGCTGCCGGGCCTCAAGTCTACGCACAGGTCCGATGATATGCCAAAATATTGTCTATATACATCAAGCCTTCTACACTTGAAGAGGTGCTCGACCGTTATTCTATCTTTACATAACGGGCACCTACGCGGTCGCTTTCCGGCCAGAAGGGGCCCGTGCGTTATTGTTGTATGACCTATGCGCAGTCTTGTCAGTATGGCCTTTTCCCTTTTCGAACCGTTCTCCGTGGACCAGGGACCGACTTCTTTCTTAACCTGCCACAGTTTGGCAGAGTTATTTCTATGTCTTCGAGCCCAGCGGTTTTTGCATTCTCTTTTTACAGAGTTTGAAATTAGTAGTTTTAGGTCCGCTGGGCTCTATTCCATAAATGTGAACAATGGATGTAAATGCTCGCAGCATAATGCTCTTATCGCCCGTCATTTCTAGACGACATTTAGAGAGCCAAGAAATGATAGCATTAAAATATCATTATCAAATCACTAACCTAATTAAAGGGTGATGGAGTACTCAGTAATATTCCATGAGCTCTCTCACCCTACACATTCACGCAAATATATACACTCAATCTCAGCTAAGGGAAGTAGGAAAACATTTTGGGTTTTCTACATGTATCATATACAATCTTCCAAAAATTGTAACAAGGGATCCAGATACTCCCTGCTTATTCTCAAAATGCTTCATCGGTTGGTATTCTTACTCGCTCCTTGTATAGAGCCAAATGACACTCTACAATTAAGTAGGACACGTTGGGCAACCTTTCTCTGCAAGTCGGTCTACCGTTCCTTATTAATTGAATATAACATTTTTAATATGGTGAATATAGTGTAAAATGTTTTCGTTTGTTTAAGTTTTACAATGGGTAAAAATTAATTACCTGATTGAACATAATTTATAAATTATTAGAAATTGCACTTTTAGTGTCACTAGCACAGTTGAATTTATATCCGTAATTTTTAAGTAGTTTTGAGCACCATGAGAATTTTTAGTTTATCTCGGATAAATACCTTTTGGTAGCCCCAGTAATATTAAAATCATGTGCATAGCGCTGTTCATTTTATTCAAACAAGCCCAATGATGTTTTCATGTTTATTTATTTAATTTTTAAGAAGTTGGTGAAATTTCATTAATCTTTTTTTTTACACCTCCTTTCCTGTATTTTTTTAAGTCCAAATGTAATTTCATATTGTCCTTTTTTTATACTGTCAAAATTATTTGATATATTAACACTGAGTAATAAAACAACGAACAGAGACAAAATACATGAGCATGGCTAAAGCTGAAGCAGCTCTTTCATTTTATTGGGTCATCGCAGCTTTGAATATGCTCTTTGCATCCCGAAGCTCTAAATCTACGCCAAGCCCAGCTGCGGCTCTAACTTATAAATCAGCAGCTCTTGCAGAATATAGCTTCAGGAGGCGTTAAGATTCTAAATTCAATGCAGCTGCTTTTTTTTAATTTTTACGGATGTTAAATTTCCATTTTTAAAAAACGATCGAGCGCAGACGTTAATAATTGATTTCTAGTAGAGGGCCTAGATTTTTGTTTAGATTTATTTTTAGGCAAAATAGTGACGACAGATCTCATATATCATTTCCTCGCCTTCTCCCATTTTCCCGTCGTGAAGATGAAGGCCTGCCTTTGTCACCTAATGGCCGACATGTCGACAGATGCCGAGAACACCGAGGCGGCGGATCTTCAGAGAAAGCTTGAACTCCTCAATAGCATTGTTGACCAGGAAGCGAAAGCTGAACAGGCAAGAAGGCAAATGCAATATTTCGGCCATTGTAAGTATATACCGTAAGGTCGATTATGTTCCTCCCATGTTTTTCTCCTAATCATTTTTTTCTCGAAAAAACCTGCTTTTGATTCGATTTATTTTTTTTTTTCATAAAGTTCAACTCGCTTGGGTTTGTCTTGCTTTACGCAATGCACAGTCGCTTCCACACTCAGCATAAATTCTTCTAAAAAATAACATAATTTTTACCAGTTCAAATACTCAACAATGTCTGTTAAACAAATATTTTTTCTGACAAAGTTCATTTGAAAATGAAAGAAATACACATTTGCTACTTTTTCAGCGACGAACTAAATTGAACGCAAGAAATGAGCCAAATAAATCAGCTTTCAGCAATCATGAACATTTAAATCATTTACTAGCCATCTATTTTAACCAAATTTTAAATTATATCACTATAGAATCATTATCGGGCAATTGTAATTTAAACATTCGAAATGTAACAGAAGATTAGATCTCAATGACATTAATGTTTCGAAACCTGGCGGAACATAGGCTTAGCCTTTAATAAAAATAATTGATTTAAATGTGGATATTTTGTGTAAAATGATAAATGGTATTTACAAAAATGAAAATTTATGGCAATATTTTAATATTATCAATAGTATGACTCTAATTAAATAATTTAAAAAGTAAAGGTTATTTTGTTATAAACGAAGTATTTAGATTTTATTTTCCAGTGTAAATACGATTGATTATCTTTAAAAACGTAGAATTCTTGTTATTTGTTAAAAAAGAATTTTTTTTAAAATTGTAATTCTTATAACTTATTGTATAAACTCTTGTTCTCGTGGGGTTGTATAACACCAAAAAAGATTTATATAATCAAAATACTGCCATAAAAAATACGATTAAGAGAAATTATATTTACAGTATTCTAAAACAGAATGAATCTGTAAAAGTAGGGGCGAATGACGCAAACCTGCATTACCGGCCTTTTTTTGTAAAAATAAAAATTAAATGACTTTCCCATCATCCTATCCCAACGACGTAAAAAAGCCATTATCTTTACAACCTACTTATTCAACGCTGTCATACGTACAACCCATTTTCCCACCTGTTGGAAATTTTCTTCTATCAGGATGCTACCAAAACCTAAGAAACCGAATCACCTTCCTCGCTCTTACCGACCCATCAGCCTTTTGCCCATTATTGGCAAAATACTGGAAAAGCTCCTTTTGATCCGCTTGTCCAAGGAAATTCCTACAGACACAATTCCCAATCACCAATTCGGCTTTCGGAGTTGCCACTCAACTGTACAAGCACATCACATAATCGACGTTATTTCCACATCCCTTGTGCTGTGCTTCCAGCTTCCTGTTATATACACCAGGCCTTTGACCGAGTATGGAACTTTGGGCTTCTGTTGAAGCTCAAGAACATCCTAAAATTCTATCTTAACGATCGTTACTTCCAAGTATCCCAAAAAATGCATTGTCTCCTATCCATCCTAGCAGGTGTCTCACAGGGCAGCGTGCTCGCTCCTTTCATTTATTCAATTTATACCTCCTACTTACGCAACCTAACACTATCACATTCACCTTTGTCCTGATAAAGATCCTGTCACAGCTTCCCGTAATCTTCAAAATCACCTAATCATCAAACATCATCAAACGTCGGTGGAGAATCAAGATCAACGACACCAAATCAACAAACATAATATTTACGCTAAACAAGAAACCTCTCCCACCAGTATACCTCAACAACGTTCCCATCCCAATTGCGAACCATGTACGCACTCTACGCTCTACCTCGACAAACGACTGACGTGGAACCACCATACACGACTTAAAAACTCTAAACTCTAAAAAACTCTAAATTGCCCTCCTGGCCCTCATTTGGACATACAGATTGAACTTTACGAGACTGCTAAGCGTTCCAACCTCAGTCGTATCCGATCCCTTCAATCCAAAATCCTCAGAATAATAGTCAATGCCCCTTTCTACCTATCCAATCACACCATCCATACCGACCTAAATGTCCATTTTGTTACCGAGCTAGCCCAATCCCGCTATTCCGTTCCATTCCAAACTACCCCATCATCCGAACCCTTTCGTCAAAATCCTATTATCCACCTCATTACCTAATAATCCAAACAGTAGACTGAAGCGTCGGTGGCCGCGCGACAACCTTAACAGTTGACCTCCTAGTATGGAATACATCTCGCTCATCGTATTGATGGCTACCATCACTGGATGGTAACTGTTTAAGATTTCATGCTACCGTTAATAAGTTTATATGTAAATATTATCTGTTTTACTTGTTGCGTCGAAGAATGCAGTTGTAAAAAACAAATAAAAAGTTTAAAAAAAGAGCTAACATGTCGAATGAGTTAATTGGTTTTTTAAATTGTTTTCTTTAATGATTTTAAGACAAGAAGATCTCACTGGAACATCTGCTTTTGCTAACGACGAACGATAGCGTCCTTTCCATAGCCCAAAGTTGTGCCACGTTCTACCATTTACGAAGGCCTTCAGAGGTTTAGGGCCATCCGAAGTCTCGGTCGAAGAGTGGTAGAGGTCGACCGAGATGTACGACGTTTTATTGCTCTTACCGCACTATCGAACATTTATTTAACGGCTTCCTTCATAACTAGTCAATTCTAAACGATGCGTAATGTAAGAATGAGCTGTAAACAGTCATCAGAAGGCTTCGTAAAAATACTCTACCTTCTAGACGTCTAGTTCTTAGGTTCTTTACTGTTGGAGAAGCGTCGAGTAGAAAGGCGACTGATGGGGCTTCGGCGACCCCAAGTTAGGGTCGAGGTATATCTTTACCCCGCGGTTCGAACAAAGGGAAAATAAAAGAGAATGCTGGATTCTGCTTTTATTTCACAAAAATACTTGTAGAAGTAAATGACAAAATTAAATGGCTTACTCGCACAAACTACAACAAAAAAAAGGTAGACTTGTCAAATACAAAATAAAATGAAATAAAAAAAAAGTTAAAGAAACATTTACAAAAAAACAAAGAAAAAACAAACAAACGACTTGCGTGTTCTGGGGTACCCCTATTTAGCCGGCGAAATGTAAGTCAGGCGACGCGTTGACGCGGCGGCAGGCGTTCAGCAGCAAAAGCAGATACGGGCAGCAACAGGTCAAGCAGTGGGACCGACCAAGGCTCGAGGGTAAGTAAAAGTAAAACTCCGAGTCATGTCAACAATCCTGTTACCGGCGAGTTAATTCCGTTGTTGTCAACATGCCGATCACCGCGGCTCGGCCCGAAAGCGTACTGCCGTAACACACCGCCCACCAAATTTCAGGTGAAATTTCAACTCGAAGGTCCTAGAAAAGCACAACAGAAAGATGAACAGAAGAAAATAAAGGGGCGTGGGAAAAGAATGTGTCACTGGAGCAGTCAGGGCTCAGGCAGCAGAGGAGATAGACGGACCACTGGTCGCGTGTACTCTCCAATAGGTGTCTTGACGCGTACTACTCTCACTGTTCCATCCTTGCCTGGGAACTTCTCGATGATGCGGCCGATCTGCCAAGATAATGGATGCGCCTGGACGTCCCTTAAGACTACAAGGGTTCTCAACTCCAGGTTGTCGGTTCGCTGTTGCCACTATTCCATATGTGGACTCTCTCGGTCTCCTTAGGGTGGGCGGACGCCTGGCTAATGCACCTGTGAGCCACCAATTCAAACACCCGATCCTACTTCCGTACAAGTCGTACTTTACCCAGTTGCTAATTGACCACCTCCACATAGTATACGCTCATGCTGGACCCCAACTTCTCCTGGCATTGCTGAGACGATGATACTGAGTCCCCTGCGCTCGGAGGCTTGTTCGATCTCGGGTCCATCACTGCGTCCGTTGCCACCGCCCTGAAGTCGACTCCAGCGACTATAAATCACCTTCTAACTCATCTGTCGAAATTGGACAAAATTCAAAGTAAATATCTCAGAATATGTCTAGGAGCCATGCATTCCTCACCAATAAATGCTGTCCAGGTGGAAGCCAAAATTATGCCTCTCAACATGCGACGATCGTTGATGGCTGGCAGATTTTTATCCTCCCGCATGGTTATTGAAAATCACCCTGTTATTGATCGTATCAGACACCTAACTATGCTTGCTAGCACAAATCGATACTGGCAAAACAAACGAACACCATTGCTGGTCCATTCTTTCTTAAAATTCTCAATTGACCCTCTCCATCCCCCCAAACCGCCATCATCGTATATACCTTACCCAAAATTTTTCTTTAATGTTTAGCCATACTTGCGTTATCGCGGATCCCTTAGCTACCTGAACGGTCTCATTTCCCTCCATATGTGGAAGAGGCAGCCATGAGAGGTCAATCTGACACGGCACTAACCTTATATACGGACGGATCCAAGCAGGGTAATCTGGTGGGCGCTTCATTTTTTGATCCTTGCTATAATTTTGCCGTACAAATTGAATGGGGTCGCCTGCATTTTTACTGCCGAAGCGTTAGCAATCTTGGAAGCTTTAAAGTATGCTCAGACTGTGAACCCTTTCGACTTAATTATATTCTCTGACGGCCAAAGTGTGGTCCATTCCCTTCGTAGTATCCTTAAAGGCAATCACTTTATCCGCAAACAGATTTTCAATTTAATATGTCAGTTCAAAACGTCCAACACTAACATTCATATAATCTGGGTAAAAGGACATAACGACAATGTTTACAACGATGAAGCCGATAGACTAGAGAAAGAGGTTTCATCTCGGTTGGAGATATTAGATCTCCTTTGTATAGGCACTCCTTGAGAACTTGGCGAAGGGAGTTTAGATCCACAAGTAATGCCAAGGTTTACAAATCAATTCAAACCCTTATTCCTCCCTTCCTGTGGTTCCGTTCTTTGAATTATCCCCGACATAATCCACCTCCGACTAAACCACCATAGTCTACCTGTCCACCTTTACAAAATTAAAATCCTTAATTCCCCTTACTGCTTCTGCAACAACTTAGTAGTCGCCAATGCCAACCACGTCCTTCTTGAGTGCCCTCTTACCGCCTCAGGCGGA